GTTCTTTTCTTAATAGCTCCTGTTGGGAACGTTTTCATGAGGCAAGATACTAATTATTTGGTCTTCGATTTAATCGGAATCTAATTATGAATAGGAGGGAATTATTCTAAGTTTTGGTTCTTAGAGAACTCATTTGCAAGGTGCAGGAAAATTTATTGTAATCTTTCTCAGATTTGGACAATGTCGGTAAAAATTAGCGTTCATTGACCGTGGTTATCGACCATATCGCCTAATCAAATTATTAAGTTTAGTTACTCGTTCTACGCACAATTTGACGTTCTTTAATTTCTCAAAGAATTCTTTTTTAGCTTTGATGCACTGTTAAGTAGTAATACATGAAAAAAATAACAGTTAAATTGGATTTTTTTGCTGTTAAAAGTTTTCTCTTGGTGACCCTTGTCAGCAATTCAGTTGTTTACAAGTCTGAACCCACATACAGGGTGTCTTGTGAGTAAAAGAAAATATTTAAAGGAGTGATAGCCGAACTCAATAAATACAAAAAAGTACAAAATTGTTTATATAAATAATGGTTCGATTTTCAGCAGAAAAGTATGGAAATGTTTTATGATTTTTCATGTAAGTCACGTTTTTTTTTTAATAGGAATTGATAAAAAAAAAATTAATTTAAGTAATTAACGATTGCTTCACTGTAAACTAGACAACATTTAGTTTAAATAAAAATAGAGTGTGATTATGTTAAAACTATTTAAAGAGGATTTTGAGCGGCTAAACTCAGCTGAGGAGTGGGGAATATGGGTAGTAGTGGGAGAACGGGTAGGGTTTGGGGAAGCACAATACAGAGGTGCGGCCCTCCCCCCCTCATGAGAAAATTTCTGGATCCGTCACTGTCACTACCAAGAATGCCTATGAGGATGTCCTTCCTGTAATCACTACATCATCTGCAAACGCTAGGTGTTGAGTCATTCAATGATATATACATCCCCCTCACCAAGTGTGTATCGATCTCATGACTACTAATAACAAATTGAACAGTACTGGGAAGCAGTGGCAGATTCAGAAATTTTCTCCGGGGGGCCGCACCTCTGTACCAGATACTTTCCCCACTCCTACCTGTCCCCCCAACGCTACCCATTCCCCCTCCCCCCACTCCTTAGCTGAGTTTAGCCGCTTAAAAGTCCTCTTTAAACGGTTTTAGTAAAAGCAAACTATTTTTATTTCATAATGGTAGGTTGATGGTTGCCTGTAGTGAATAATTTAAGAGAAAGATGGTTGGGGGGGGGGGGTCAGTCAAAATAAAAATAGTAAAAATAAATAATTATAGAGGCGAATGTGAAAATAAATAAATTATTTATTTTTATTATGACTGATCACCCTAACCATCCTTCTCTTCAACTATTTTTATTTAAAGTAAATTTTGTCTAGTTTACAGTGAAGCAATCGTGAATAACTTGAATTAAATTGTTTTTTTTTGTTATCACTTCCTATTTAATAAAAACCGTGACTTACATAAAAAATCACATAATTTTAATTTTCTACTTTCCTGTTGAAAATTAAAGAACTATTGTTTATATAAACTTTTTTGAATTTATTAAGTTTTGTTATCACTCCTTTAAACATTTCCTTCTACTTACGAGACTGTGTATGGTTTTAGACATGTAAAAAACTAAGTTTCTAACACGGTTTACCAAGAGAAAACTTTTTGCAGCCAAAAAAATCAAGATTTATCCGATCTTTTTTTTTTTTTTTTCTTGTATTACTACTAAACAGTACATCAAAGCGAAAAAACGTATTCTTGAAGAAATCAAAGAACGCCAAATTGTGCGTCGAATGACAAGCTAAACTTAATAATTTGATTAAGTGATGTGGTCGACAACCACGGTCAATTAACCCTAATTTTTACCGACATTGTCAAAATCTGAGAAAGATTACTATAAATATTCCTGCAGCTTGGAAATAAGTTCTCTAAGAAAAAAAACTCAGAATAATTTCCTCCTATTCATAATCAGATTTCGATTAAATCGTAGACCAAATAATTAGCAAACTTTGTCTATTTAATTAGATACTAAAAATTCGTAAATAACCATTTGCTTTCCACTTTAATCGTAAGATAACTTTATAGGTAACACAAAGGTGGCCTTCTAAAATATTAATCCGTTTGGCGTGACCTACACCCCCAATTGTCAAAATAACGAGGTTATATAGGCCAAAGAGCTCAATATTTTTTAAGGCTGCCTTTTTTCTCGACTTTGCGCTCAATTTTTCTTACGATTAAAGTGGAAAGCAAATGGGTATTTGTGAGTTTTTAGTACCCCGTTAGAAATCTAGGAGTAATTTTTTATCAATACCTCTCCTGGAACAGTCATATTTCCCAATTTATCCAAAAATCTATTGCAACCCTAAAACAGTTCCTGAGATTCCGTGATTTTATGCCTCTAAAGACCTGTCAGCTGCTAGTTTCCTCTCTCATTTTTCTGCAATTCGACTATGGCTGCTTTGTACACGGTGGACTGTCTGGAAAGCCGAGAATTGTTCTTATTCTGAGAAGACCGATGAATTGTTTCATTAAATTCATCTTTAGAGCCCCCAGGCACTCCCATCTCTCCAGTTGGTGAGAGTTAAGGTGACTCTATCCATTTTTCGACGTGATTATCTCCTGAGTGTTTTCTTTTTCCGAATCTTCAACCAAAAAACCCGCTTACATTCTTGATCTGTTTACTACTTTATCTTCGGTATATTCGTTTAACACGAGATCCCAGCTCACAAATCTTTTTTTTCTTCTCATAGAACTGTTTCCTATAAAAAATCATTTCTCATATGAGCTATCTTGTTCTGGATTTCTATACCTACTTCCGTACTCAAATCCTCTTCCTTAATTTAATTTATTTGTCTATTTCCTTAGCAATCAATCGGTACTCGGTACTTTTCGTCTAGGGGACCGCTACTGACTGCTATCTGCCAATGTTTATAACCTGAACACTGATAACTCCCATAACGCAGTGATAAGCCTTCTTTTACTTCATATCTTCGTATTATTGTATTAAATTCGTATTATTGAAAGTGTAAACAGATACAAAAACAAATGTAATAACAAAATAAATACTTTTATTTGACGAAACATATATTAGTGAAATAATAAAAAAACACTTTAAGAAGATATGTACACATAAAACATCAAAATGAAATAATAAAAAAACACATTTAAAAGAACATATTTACATAGAAAAGAAAAAATATAAAACAAAATCTGTTTTATAAAAAGATAAAACAATCATCTGTTTCTCGGCAAACTCTACCAAACATCCACTGCTGAGATAAAACTCTCCCCACATGATTTTTTCGTTTAGAAAAAAGACTCCACTTTGCCAGGTCCTCCAATTTTTTTTCTTGGCCTGTATAACATGTCATGGGCACAATCAATTTTAAAGCTGTTAAAAACGAAATCCTCGAACCCTCCAACCATGTTCCTTTCCTTATTGAAAGTTTTGTGTCATAAGTCCTACGAAAGCATCTCCATTTGGCCTTCCTGGTTGACTTCATTCGATGACCTCGATCACACAATTTAACGTCGGCAAGTACCCCAACATTTTAAAAATTTTGAAGTGCCTGTTCTTCTGAAGGCGGCAAATTCCATATTCTAAGAAGATCCATAATATGAAGAAAAGAAACACAAAGGGGCCACAAACTAAAAAAAATGTAAAATAAACACAAACGGGCCAAAAGTAAAGAATTTAATAAGTGAACGTAATAGGGGAATAACTGAAAATTAAACAATGCAATAACTGAAAGGTTTGGCGGGATAAGAAGAGGGAGGTTATGTGACGTGACGTTAGATAAGATAGATAAGAAGTGAGGTTTCAGTCCGGCCAGCTAGACAAAAAGTACCCAATCTTCCGAATAAATGTAAGAATACTATTTTTGTGTTTTAGAGATGTCAATCTCATTATACCGTTATCTTATTGATACTTATATATTATATATTGCTTATATGTGAACACGCTAATATATATTTATCTATAATTCAAATGTTAACTTGTGCCTCTCTATCCTTTTAATTTCAAGACTCGATAACCATGTGATTTAATTAATTCTTGATCATCTGTTTATTTCAGACTAATGCCATCAAATTGTTCATTGTAATTATTCTTATGGGACTAAATGTCCCAGAATAAAATTTACTTTTCTTTTTTTCTTTCTTTCTTTAAAATTAAAAAGCTCTTTTAATCTATAATAGATAAATAATATACCATATTTATAACATACTATAATACTGTAGCCTAACATGAGTATTTATTTTGTTTATCGTTTAAAGAGGAAAGTGTAACCTACTGCATTTCTGCGAAAAGAATAAGTTCAAGTCTGTTCGGTGAAGATGAAACAAAAACAGGGGTAAGCATCCTCTCTCCCTTCATAAAAAATTCGTCCTATAACTTTATTTAACACTTTAACACCCAACACCTCTTCTCAGCACATTTTCTTCTCAGCTAAGGGTTGAATATGAGAGGTAATTGTTCTAAAAGTGAACGAGTGAATTATATTTTATAAACTAATTAATTTTTGATTCCCTACTCACGAATCAGTAAATATGAATTAGTGATCTGGAACAGAAGTAAAAACTGTTAAACAAGTTCAATTAAGGTTTATGTGAAGGTATGGGAGATTTGATTTTACTTTTATTTATTTTAATTACTAGTTTCATTTATACACCTACGCAACAGAACACCTATCTAAACTAGAAACATTTATAAATTATTTTATATAATTTTAGAATTTTTGAAGTACAAACTTCTTTAGGCGCGCTTTGCAATTTTTTTGTGGGTGGTGAAAGAGACTGAGTCATCACGTTCGAACATGTAACGCTAATTCGATGAAAGTCGGCTCGAGTCGACTAATTGAAGTGTTTTTGGATTTGGATTAAAATATCTCAGAAACTTAAAATCAGGCATGCATACTGTAAGCGAAGGAAATTCTCAGCATTTCATCCTCTTTGTAATAAACTATTTAAATTCGATCATTAAGAATCGATATCTTTGATAACAGCTATCTTCACGAAGCTTACTTGACTTGTGGAAAGTTATGTTGGGAAAGATTGAGTTTATATTAGATTAGATTGGAATACTACCAATTAGGAATTCTTGTGTGAGTTATTAGATTGTTTTTGTGCTTTTATTAATTTTAGTTCTGTTGCAAATCGAGTTTTCCTAAATCGTTTTAACTATTACATAGGTTCATTGCATATCAATCTCTAGATAATTTAATTACAAAGTTTATTTTCTTAATTATTTATTTTACAGATTTTTATAGACAGTGAACGTTGATGGCAATATTAGCAATTGACTTCCCCATGTCATTGGATTAAGTATGAGCTCAAAAACACCGATATCACTCCTTCAGGAGTATTTAGTCAAAGAAGGTATTTTACCATGTTACCAATTAATTGATTGTGAAAGTGGAACTCATGAACCCTGTTTTAGTTATGAGGTTAAAGCCAAAGGCCTTATTGCTATCGGCAAGGGTAGGTCAAAAAAAGAAGCAAAACAAGAGGCTGCGAAAATATTGCTTCTTCAATTGAATGGAGAGGCAATTCAGAAAGAAGAAATACCAATAATTTCACCTCATGTCCCTAGTGTGAAAGGGAATGCGATTGGAGCACTACAAGAATACTGTGTACAACACCGTATTTCTTATCCTCAATATGAGTATATCTCAGCTGATGTTGATTTAACTCCCCAAGTGTTTGTTGTGCGATGTACTGTTTTAACTCACTCAGCTGAAGGTAAGGCTTCTACAAAACAGCAAGCCAAACATCTTGCCGCACAAGCGGTGTTGTCAATGTTACAAAAGGTTGAGGAGAATGTTATTGATATGTCATCAAACATAGTCAAGGAAAAAAAAGAACTTACTGTTAAAACTTATGACAAAACAAGTGAGGCTTTTCAAAAAACATTAAATGAAAGACCACTTACTTCCACGAACACAATGAAAAATCTTTTGGATTTTGCTGATTATTTTAAAAAAGAAATTGGTTCTCGTTCCCCTGCACTTACTTCCTTAAAAAATATAGATGAACTAATAGAAGCCCATAATGACCCTGAAGGTCTATTTAGACTTATTATGGATCAATTAGGCTATGAATTTAAGTTTGAATTTTTGAATTCTAAGGATTCAGGTGATTGTTTGTGTAGCCTTTTAGTAAAGAAGATGAGTATTAATTGCATCGGTGCAGGAAAATGTAAAAATGATGCACAGAAAGAAGCTGCAATAAATGCTCTTAAAGTATTGGTAGTAATGTCTAAATCATAGTTACTCAAATATATAAATATTTTCAATTGGATTAATAATATGTGTTTGTATTCATTTAAATTTTATAAATATTTTGTTATTTTTTTATGTTCTATTGTTATCAATTTATAAAACTGTGCTGCCGCTCGTTTTTCTCAATACTATAATATTTAACACATGGGTTCATACTCTATGTAGCCTACTAATAGTTCAGAATTGGCACTCGGTGAGGTAGTAGGTTTTTGATATTTTATTCTTAATTTTGTTATTAAAAACAGATTAAATTTTCTATTTAATTAAAGTTAACTTCCTTCTATTCCACCTAAATTAAAGAGCATTAGGTGGTGTTATTATATATCAATCATATCAATTGATTTAAAAATGTATATATTTAAATTATTTTGTTATTTTTACATGTTGAATTGTTGTTTTTAAATTCTAGTTTTTGAGATTATTGCTTATGTAACATTTTAGTAAAGGAAATTTGTATAACTTGCACCGGTGCAGGAAAATGTAAAAATGATATCCAGACAAAACTGCAATAAGTACTCTTAAAGTATTGATGTCTAAATCATAGTTAAATGAAATGAATGAAAACATGTTTATTATCATAAAGCAAATATATATATATGTTTATATACATTTAGAACTTATTAACTTGTTATTTTGTGATATTGAATTGTTATTAAAATTTATAAAACTGCAGTTGAATTCACTTTCCTCAATACTTAATATTTAACATAGGAGTCCATGCACTATGTAGCCTACTTGTGTTCAGGTGATGCTGTACCTTACCTTGAGTCAACCTGGATGAGGAGTCCCTCCCAAACTAAGGAGTAGGTGAACGGAAACCTCCACTCTTCCTAAGACCATGCCCATGAGCAACCTAAGTTGCATCCTGCTCCAGTTAGCTGCTTCTACTAATCGGGGCTGATCTTGGCCGGGAGGTCATAAAAAATATCTTTGGTAATGGGCAGCATAAGCTATAACATGAGGCCGAGAACAGTATGAGTTGGATGGATCCATGAATAGAATATGCAGGCAGAGCTGGAGAATGATATGTATCATTCAATAGAATGCAGAAGGCCTGCTGAATTAAGTCTAATTTATAAGTTCATTAAACAAATCCATGAACAGGCTATGTACATAATTTGTATACAGGATACCTACCTAAAAACAAACCTATGATTTAGTGTAAGAGGATACCTGGTTTTCAGAAACGACAGCACGGTTCAAATAAGTAAGATTTTTAGAGCTACTGGTGGTGAGCTCCCCCGGGTTGTAGTCAGGGCCGGAAAGCTGAGTTTTGCTACTGACCGTATCAACAAGAAACAGAGGAGTTTCAAATCATGCAATGGAATGCCGAAGACCTGCTAAGTAAAAAGAATCCATGTATAGATTATACCTTCTTAAAACCAGCCTAAGATTAAGTGTAAGAGGCTATCGGGATTACAGGAACGTTGGAGTCAATCCAAATAAGGGAGGTACTCTTACGATGATAAGAACTATTCCAACCCAGGGTATACATTTAAGTAACGATCATCAAAACTTTAGTAGATCATTTAAATTCCCACTCCCTTCCGCGAGGGTATCAACATTTGAACCAGTGAAGCAAGGAAGTTAAAACTTGATTCACTGAAATCTTTCTTCAACTTAGTATCAAACATAATGACCAACCTTTTTACTCTTGGACTTAGAAATCAACTATTTCTCCCAACTCAGTCTTTGATGTTATCACTACACAGTGATTGGTAGCAAACCAACTTGTAAGAAGTCAATAGACCATAGACCAACTTCATTTAAGGTCGACTTCAATTTCATTGCATCTGATGCAGCTCCCCTATATAGATGGAACTTAATATTAATAAAAATAAATGGTTACGAAAAATTAACTAATTCAAATATTGTAACTTTTCCGTCTCCAACACCACCTGAAATCTTTAAACTGGTTATCAGAATATTAAGGTCCAAACATACACCCCTAATCCGATTAGGTGCTATAGATGTCTTACTTTTTCAAACCGTACTTTAAAATGCAAAAACTCCAAAATTATTTGTTCTCAGTATGGTGAAGAGAAACATACTGATGTAAAATGTACCAAAGAACCCATTTGTATTAACTTTGGTCAAAATCATAACAGTTTAGATTAAAAATGCTCTATTTACCAAATGAATAAAGAAATTAAAGCCATCTAGTTTACTAAGAAAGTCTCTTACAACGAAGCTAAAAATATTTATAAACTAGAAAACCCCCAAAAGTTCAATAAGTTATTCTCGGAAGTCATTAAGTCTAAAAATAATATTAAAAAACAGGAAACATGTACACAAACAGATATATTCTTTAAATTCAAAGCTTCTCAGAATCACGAAGCAAAGGCAGCTTCTAATGATTTCTCGCCACAAACCAGCACATCAAAATCCTGTGTACCTAATGTACAACGGACCATGGTCACCAGATCCTCAGTCGCTGTGCCTTCCCTCTTCCTCTTCCTCCTTATCCCGCCCTTCTTCCCAATCCCTCACCACTTCTATATCTCAACCTCATCCTCCGCGTCTTCATCGCAGAAATCTTTGATTAAAGGCCAACTTGGAGGTAGCATCTAGGTTCAGACGGCGGCTATACTGAAGGCTGTTGCAGAAAAGGCTAATGTAAGAAAGATTACTCAAGCAAAAATAGCTCAGTATGACATGTATTGCTTAGTTATATTCCTTTAATTACAATTCTTAATCATGTCATTAATTCAATGAAATTGCAATGATTTAAAGCGGCTCCCAGATAGCTATCGTCCCATATTCCTCACAGGCTGCTTAAACAAAATAATGGAACATTGGTAAATTAAATATTGATGTGGATTATAATTTAAAGAACAATAATTTAATGCGTCCATTTTAGTCTGGGTTTCGCAAGGGACGATGCACAATGGACCATCTAGTTCCATTGGAGGCAGAAACCCAATATACTTTCAACAACGAACCACACCCGATTGCTATTTTCTTTTATGTGAAGAAAGCTTTTGGCAGTATACAGCATGATTTAATCTTTAAAAGGCTGTCATCAGTTGGAATAATAGGGACCATGTTCAATTACATCAAACAATTTCTTTAAAATCGCCACTTTAGAGTAAGAATAGGCTGCGAACATCTAAGGAGCGTAATCAAATCAGTGGTGTCCGACAAGGCTGTACCGTCAGTCCAACATTGTTCTGCATAGCAATAAATGACTTGGGACTTAACTTGCCTAGAGATGTCAAACCTCTACTCTTGATCTGTGCCGCATGCCGCTCTAACAACAGTATCACTATTCAGCAAAAATTACAGAAAGCCGTTGATAGAATAAAAAATTGGCCCCTTTCCACTGATCTCAAATTCTCCGCTGAAAAAACAATGTGCCTCCATTTAGTAAAAAGCGAAATACTCCTTCCACTCCTGACATCTACTTGAGCAATTCTTTGATTTTTATGCAAACAGTCACAGATTCTTGGGTATAGTATTTGACCGAAGACTGCCATGGGAAACTCATATTTCAAACTTAAAAACGCCCACAATTAAAAAACTTACCATATTAAGGTGGTAGATAGATCGATAGAAAATAACTTTATTCTGGGACATAGTCCCTTGATAATAACAAAATGGAACAAAATTAAAAGATTACATCGGACCTAAATAAAATCAATAGAAAAGAGAAATAATGTCAAGAAAATATAAGGTAAACATTCTATATACAAAACAATTACCACTATGACAAGACACTTGAAGCTATTTGCACGGATAGACCAGTATAGTATACACTTTTAAGAAAACAATAAAGAAAAATATATTAAATTCTTCATTAAAATAAGCTTTGAGTTTCTGTCGAGAAAGCTGAACCTGACAATATAAAGTGCCTGATTAATATATAAATACATTATCATTTAAATGTTGATTAATGTATAAATACATCATCATCATTTCTTAACGTAACAATAGGCAAGAATTAGAGGTGCATAAAAGATAATCCCCATCCCCACATATATTGTTACAGTAAGGCTTGAAATCAGTTTTGTACCAAATATAAGCTCCTGTCATGCTCAAATACCTTGAATGGGGTACCGTTGGATTCAGAATTTCACGGGGGTTAGCGAATCGTATTCTCCACTTTTGTTTTTCTTTCTAAAATAAATAAAGTCGATACAAACATTTTGCTAGGCTTCAATACTGGAACGGTGGTAGGTAAGTAGATCGATATGGGACAAATTGGATCTTGAAGATTTTGATGCGTACAGCAAGACCCGGATCCTGCGTTTTAAGCCCAAAAACGTACTATTTTCGAGATAACGCAAGCCATAGGGTTCGAATCCACACAGCCTTACATTAATTGTAGTACTGTCATTGAATATATGTCTCATTTCGTCGACTTGAGGTCTCTATGATCGAGAGAGGAGGAGTTTATATTATTTATCGATGGTGTTTTTGATCGGCATGCCATATAATCGTTAATTTTTCACCAAATCTCAAGATTGAGTCACCAATTTCGAAGGTTTCCTTCTTCAGGCCGGCAAAATAGTTCAATCACCCCGAAAATTCAGGCAAACAAGTTATGAAAGAAAACAAACTTTATTTGCGAATAACTAAAAAATTACACACTTTTCCCTTGGTCATGCCCATGATTATATAAAAGATTACTAAATTCCTTACAAAAGGAAAAAAAAAAGTCATCGAAATCGGACTATTTTTAGCAAAGATACAGCTTACTGAAATTTGTGAACATGTTGGTTCAAAGAAAAATGAAGATTTAAATTAATTTTTGTTTTCTTTGTCGATTATATTTATTACATTTGATTTCTTTATCTTTTGATTGCATTATTTTATTTTCTTATTAATTTGGCATTTGATAACAATATGCTGTGCGAATTTTTCGCTACTTGTAGTTATAAACTATCAATAGATGCGTTCCTAGCAGTGCCTCCTGGGGTTCGGATAGGACCTCCCTACTAAAACTGTACCGCTCATTAATATGATGAAAGCTGGACTATAGTTGTTTTCTCTACGGTTCTGCACGTTTCCGGATCTTTAATAAACTTGATGCAGTACATCACGCTGGTATTAGGATTGCTATTGGCACATTTCGAACCCCCCTTTTATTTATACGAAATAAACTAGTCATTAATTATATTTCTAGACTATACCCTCAAACCGAACACCCGACATATACATATATTTTTAAGCCGAATTTGCCGAAAGTTTTTGAAAACATATTCAACCCTCCCTTTGTCAGAAAAGAATTAACGCAGTTACTGTTTTCCTTAATGAATTGCCTCTAGAAATACTAAAAGATTACGATCTTCCATGGATAAACAAACAACCAAAAACCATACTAAACTTATCATGACTACCGAAAAACGAAACCTCACCTTCTGAATACAAAATTAAATTCTCTCGTGACTTCACAAAATTCAATAACCATTTTTAATGTATACCGACGGATCAAACTCCGAAGAATCCACAGTTTCTTCATTTATAACACACAGCTTCACCCACAAAATAAAACTACATAATTTATGCAGTATATATACAGCTGAACTCCACGCAATAGCCTCAGCTCTCCATTTCTTTATGTCGATAACTCCCTAACCAACAGTAATAATAACAGTCTCTTCAAGTTCTTTAAAAGGCATTAGTAATATATATCCAAGACACCTGACTATTTTAAAAATCCACTGATATTT